CTTGCCTATCTGCGTGTCTGACGAGACATTGTCGAAATAGGTACTTTACACACACCGCCGTGTCTTCAGGGCAGATCACAAAGCTCAATCATACCATGTCTTGGTAGAAACTAAGACACTACCCGGTAGCACGAACTCAAATATCCCTCTCGTATACGAATAGGCAACGACGGGACACTCACAACGACCGAGACTCTAGTCACAATCTTGCCGGGGCAGCATCTCCGCCATACGGGAACACGGGGGCCGACTCCAGCCTGGCGAATCCGTACAGCTGCCCTTTGCTTTCAGCCACTCGAGCTTTCCAAGCCGTGAGGTCCTTCACCAAGCCTTGTGTCGCCTTCTGATCTGACGGGTCCATGGGCTCCTCATTGTGGCCCATCTGCAGCATCTGCGATCCCGCCATGGCGACCCCAAGACCAAAGTCCTGTTCGTCGAGCAGGGGCTTGACGCAACTCTTGACGCCGTGCTCGAATATTTCCTGTGGCAACCTCGGCTCTGCACAAGCAGGCCGCCCAATGCCCACGCCATCAAGCCCAGCTTGCAGAATATCAACCATGGCGCCGACCGAGCGGACACCGCCCGTGACATAGGTCCTGGTCTTGCTCACGTGCGGCACAATCTTCTCCGCGAAGTCGAGGAAGAAGGCCTCGCGGGCCCTTGTGCTTTCTCTCTTGTGGTGCCACCCAGAGCTCTCGTACGTTCCGCCGCTCAGCTCGACAAAGTCAAACTTGTGCTCCTCCAAGAGCTGGCACAGCTCTGCGGCTTCGTCGGTCGTGAATCCGGACTCCTGGAACTCGACGCTGTTGATCTTGATGCCCATGACGAATCCGGGGCCCGTCCGCGCGCGGATGCTGTCGGCGACGTCGGTAATGAATCGAGCACGGTTCCGCAGCGAACCGCCATACTCGTCCGTCCGCTTGTTCGTCGTCTGCGAGAGGAATTGCGCCATCAGATAGCCGTGTGCACCATGGAGCTGGAGGCCGTCAAAGCCGGCCTTTTCGAGGTACTCGGCGCAGTGTACGAAGCCTTCCGTGAGCTTCTTGATCTCCTCCAACGTCGCCGCATGTGGCTTGGCGAACGTCATGCCCCCAAAGTCCGTCACCAGCTGTACGTCCGAGGCGGAGACAGGGTCCGACTGGACGGCGCTGACGACCTGACGTCCTGGGTGACCGACTTGTGCGAGGAGGAGAGAGCCTTCGGCCTTACCCGCCGCGGCTATGCGGCGCCATGTCTCGAACCGCTCGTCGCCCTCGACGGGCTGGTGCTCAAGGGAGATGGCTGGGTTTCCGGGTGCCTCGAGGTGGCCCGGGTCGATCATGACGTTGCCGGTGAGGAGGACGCCCCAGCGGCCGGTACCCCAGTTACGGTAGAGGTTCAGGAACTCTTTGGTGGGAGCGCCGCGCTTGGAGGGGTCGGCGACATCCCATGTGCACACACGCTCTGACATGGCGCCCTTCATGAGGCGGTTAGGGGCGACGGCTGTCGAGAAGGGGAAGCTGAGCGGCTGGGCCAGAGGTGTTGGGTCGACATCCTGTCGGCCGGGATAACGGGGAGTCATCTTGAGATTATGGTTGCTGACGACTTTCTCTCAGTAGGTGTCTGATCTGCGGCGGACTCGTGATCCGCGGGTAAAGATGCTATTCGTGACGGCTTCAGACTGAACGATTCAACAATTCACTCGATTGGATGATAGCAGAGGGATGCAGAAGTCTGTACTTTACTTGCGAGCCAGGCCCTACATATGGAACGACCGAAAACTCGGGGAGGGGGGTCTACGACAGCAAACGTGTGGATCTATATCTGTGGTCCGTCCCATTCGAATTCCGTTGCGGAAAGGGTTGCGCACATCGTGTGGATTTGGCTTGGCCCTCTTGCTGGGAATTCCGTTTCCTGGGCCTAGAATCAGGTTACGGCCCAAAGGCCTCCCGCGCCTCCAGGCTGCGCGGCTCGTCCGAGACGGAGGAGCAAAGGGCCTTGGAAGATCGAATCCACTGCGGCAAAACGCATTGCTGAAGATATGCAGGTTTTTGCCTCGGCATTATAAGTTGGAAGTAGGGCAAATGATTTTGCTGCCGTCTTTTTCTTTCCTTCCCCCTGTACCCCAGTTTAGGTGCCGGGCCTTGTGGGGGGATTCACCGATACAGCAAAAGCAACATCGAAAGCGGTGCGGGCCGGTCAGGGGTGTGTGTAAGTTGCGGACTTTTTGTCACTTTTTTTTTTTTCTTTGCGGCGTTTGAACATGTCACCGCTCTTTGGGGTACGGACAGGTTTATCGAGCCGGCCTACAGACCCCGTCTCGTGAGGTGGGATTGAAGCAGCATCTGGCTCTTCAGCCGAAGTTTTGACGATGCTATATCTGGGTTTTCACTAAGCCGGTGGACGCTATGTTGAACGGGTGGCTCGTCATTTTTTGCAAAGCGGGTAACTTCCGGTGCCAAACACAACTTGTTCACCTGAGGCTCGTGTACCAGAACGACGCCGTCCTGGTTTTGGGTTGCGAATGCCGTCTGAATATCTATGCCATGGCACGGCCGAGAAGCTTGGTCGGCCGCGTCCGTCTGTTAAAGAAAGTTGGTCGTGAGTTGACATGGACAGCGGGGTTGAAGTGACAGTTGGGCGGCGGACCCCTCCTGTTCCCACCGACCCCCCTTCCCCTACTAACCGCGGTTCATCCTAGCCTTGAGATGAGGGGTTTGGTTTTCTAGGGCCAATTTCCTCTTCTTCCTCCTAACGTTATAGCTGATGCTTATAAATCCGAGTTTTTGAGTCAAACGACCTGGATGTATTTCCCGTTCATGTGCATTGCTGAATGAGGTCAGGTGGATGTTCTGTCGGATTGGCAAGCGTCGTTTTCTGAAGAGGGTCAAGGTGGACTGTACTCAGGGGGGGGGGGGGTTGTTTGTCCTACACATAGAAAAGTTACCATCCCATCTTTGACCTAAGTACGAAATGTGGTTGGTTTATCCCCATTGAACCGCATACCAAGCCATGTACTACTTAACATGTGTGAATCAAGATCTCCTGTTTATCATGGGTCTCAGCTGAGGGGATCATTGAATGGTTGTTGATCAGCACCGATCTAACTCGTCTCGTTGCCGAGGGAGCACGCAAGACGCGCTACACCAGATGATTGTGTTTGGCGTGCGCCTGAAGCAAGAAGCTGCGACTTGCTAAATGTAGTATTTTTAAGTCACTAGTTGTCTAAACTCTAGACCTACAGAGCTTAGGTGGGGATTGGGGGCTCATGGTCGTTTGAAAGGCGAGCCTGGAGCAGGCCTGTCTGAACTTACATGGACTCGTAGCTTGGGAAGTACTCGCTCGACGTTGGAATGGTCTGTATGGCTTACAATGTCTTGGCTTTCCAGGCGGTTGCGGTTGATACGAATGAAGATGCTCAAGAGTTGGTGAACATGGTGTGGCTAGCTTCTTCCACGTACGAGGTGAAGCTATTGTGACGGGGTGAGAGACGATCCCGGGGAGTCGGTCTCGATCTCTCGAGACTCTGAGAAGTTCTCATACGGTACACATCCTTCAACCCACACTGAGAGATGGAAATGCATGGTCTACTCATACTAGAACAACAAAGAGAGTACCTGGCCCCAACTTCCACTCCCTAACCTCTCGAGGGGCTCAAGACAGCCTAGGTCTGTTCAAAGTCTCCGAGCCCTTCCTGGAAAGCACCTCTGTTCAATGATAGAGACAAGAAGAAGAAGAGGGGAAAAAAAAAAGTGCCGCCCACGTTCAGAGGCGTTTCTCTCTTCGGCTCAGTTACAGACCCGGATACAGTGGACTATCTGCCTTGGCATGCTAACCCAAGGTGAGAGTAAGCAGAAAAAACCTTCAGTTCTCAAGAAAGTAGGAGTACCAACTGCTATGAACCTATTACCAATGACGGACCTACATAAAGTCATCTAGTTGACTATCGAGAAGTTGTTTTACGATACAATGGGCACGGGCTCGCGGGTCGTCATCAGTTTCACTTTCGCCGGTGTCAGGAACATAAACAAATGAGAAGTTGGATAACCTAGGTCGCACAATATCTAGAATGGGTAATTACAGAAAGGGAAATTCACTAGACAATTTGAAATTCGCTGAGCGATGCCACCTTTCTCTGCTAGTTTCCTCTTTTCCCACCTCCACCCGTGCGAACCTAGAAAGGAAGGGGTGAGAGGGGTCGGAAGCCCAAGAACAATGGCTACAAGAAGAGACTTCAAAAAAAGACCACCCCAGGAGCTCAATATCTACACGACCCCCCCCCCCACCCCACCACGTCCGATTCCAGGCTTGAAAGACTCAACATCAAGTACTGGTACCTTACCGCACCCGGATTCAATATCCATCACTCCACTGCGATAACCCATTTTTGATATTGAACTTACCAACAATACCAAGAGGGTTCTGCATTAGAAACATCCAAGAGAGCCACGTTCAAGTCGGGGCCATCGAACTCAAAGACATCTCGTTAGCTGATTCCCAAGCGTGACAACGGGCACTGGGGGTTTCCACAGCATATTAAGGCGAAGATATGAACCCAAGTCTAATCCTCTTCCTCAACGTCCTCAATATGCCCCTCGAATTAAAGATGTATCAGACGATGGCAAAGTAAGGACTTCAAGTCTGATGGGCGAGATATCATCACTACCCAGGTACACACCCACCCACCCACCCTTACACACACAGCGAGTAAGAACCATAATCTTTCTTTTTGTCATTTGTGTGTGTCGTTTCATTTCTAATGCCTCCCTCAAAACTCCAAGGCGATGCGGCCAGTGGATATGTTAAACAAAGAAAAGTGGCCAAGATAAGAGAAGGAAGAGAGAGAGAAAGAGCGAGAGAGAGAAGATTCCTAATTGCCTTTCCCCCCCTTTCAATGAACCCCTCCCCCTTTCCATTCATACGCTTTTAATAACGCGTTTTCCACAACATACCAGCCTCCCCTCATACCACACTCCGTTCTATCCATTGCCTTCTATGCCTTACACATCGTCTCTCTCCATTTACCTGCGGCTCTTCAGAAGCCCCTGCAGGTAACTCGAGAATCCTTTCCTATCCGTGGACGTCGACATGGACCTCAAAAAGTCGGATCCGTCGATACCTAGGTGCGGGAACAGGGATGACTGGAGGTGCTGGATAAACATCTCTCCCGTCTTGAGGTATATGGCCTGCTCGAGGCCGGCGATCTCGTTGAGGACCTGCTTGCTCTGCGCGTCGTTGTGCGGCCTAAAATTGGGGTCCTGGAAGACTTCCCAGCAGAGCGGGTGGAAGCGGTCAATCATGAAGCGGTCGAAGCCCGGGATGGTCGGGTTCGGAGAACCGCTGGGCGCCTCTGGGTTCTCAGCGATCTTTGCGCAGTCGGGACCGCCCCAGACAACAACCATGCGTGCTAAAACGCTAAAGGCCAACCGGCTGGGCCCAATGTTCTCTGCTACCAGAGTTCTGCCGAGGGTGATGACAGAGTTGATGAGCGACTCGAAGAAACCTTGGTTGGCCTCGCTGATGAAGACGGACTGGAGTTCGTTGTTAAGGATAACCAGCAGGAAGGACAGGTATTCTCTCCGCAACTCGCCAAGCTGGATCTCGTCGTCTGTACCGGTGACTGGTTCGGACAGGCCGGCAAAGATTCTCTGCAGCAAGGGAGTGAGAAGCATGTTCAAGACATTATAAATCTCCGTTTTGAAGCCAAAGACAATCTGGTCAAGGAGTCGTAGGAAAATAGCCATCTCGTCCTTGGAGGAGCTTTGGGACAGGAATCCTTCGATCCACTGAGGAAGCTGCGGCAGCACAGCGGATCCGAGGACGCCTAGCAACTTGGAGAAGGATGCTCGGCAAGCAGTGCGAATATCGGTGGAGTTGTTCAACTCGCTGAGGGCAATCAAAATGGCTTCGGCGGCTCTCGAGAATTCATCAGACACAAGCTTGTCCGGGGGAGGTCGGTTCTGGACCGAGGTGCTGCCGGGCTGCCAGTCAGAGAAGCCATGGGCGAGGCGGCCAAGCGCCAGGATGATGTGATGTATTTGGAGAATGGCCTGGGCATCGTTCGCCTTTGCCTTTGGCAGATGGGATTCCATGTCACTGAATAAAGGATTCAACACAAGGCGGGCATAGTATGCCTGTTTGTCTGCAGGTGTGCTTCCAGTCGACGCGATGCAACCAATGGCCTCAAACAAGTAAAGCTGGCTTGTGAACAGGGCGTCCGCAGAGTGATCGGACTCATCAGATGACATGTCATCATCTCCGTTACTCTCTGATACCTCGGCCTTGATTGGCAGGAGGTCACTGATGGATTGAATGACAGTTTCTGCCACATTGCCGACCTGGGCTCTGAGGAATTTGACAAATCTCTGGAATAGGTACCAGGATCGTGTCTTGATGCGCACGTGGTCGTGGTGAACCAGTCGCACAAAGTTCTCGAGGACCTGGGGGATGTATTCTTGACGGGCATCAAATACTTGCCAGTACCTGACACAGATCTCCATGTACTGGAGCAGAATCGCGGGGTGGGGGAAGTTTGCAATTCCTGTAAAACAGTCAGGCACTTGGCTCGAGTAAATATGAAAGAAAGTCACTTACCGGACTCAACCATCTTGGTCACCATGATGGTCAGCCGTTCTGTTGCTGTGCTTGAGGGCTGGCTCTTGGTGCCCAGCCCTTGATTAGGCAGAGCGAGTTCGCCAAACAGATACATTTCGTGGAGCGCGAGATCCAGATCTCTCCAGTCCATCTGAGACCCTTGCTGGTCAAGCGTCGTGAAGGTCTGGGAAACGAGGTTGCTGAGAACATCGATGTAAAGCTCTTGGTCAACAGCAGCAACGGTCTTTTGGAGAACTTGCAACCGCTTCCGCAGTTCCTGGAACTCGGCCTCATCCGTTTGCTCATCTTCGTCGCCCCAGTTAGAAGTCTCGTCGTAGCGCATCTTCATAATGATGGCGTTAAGAATAGGAGGGAGCATCTCCTTGTAAGAAGCAGGCAGGTTGGCGCCGACCTTTCGCAGGAGGGTAAGGAGGTCTGTCAAAGAGGGGATGACTGTCGAGCAGACCTCGTCGTACTCGTCGGAGAAGAATCGGAGAAGGAAGGGAAGGAAATCGTGAAGATGTTGCTCGGACTTGGCTCTGGTGTCTTCGCTGGCCTGGCCGTCCTCGAGCGCGCGCACAATATCAGCCATGACGGTGTTGACGAGCTTAGCGACAGCCTCGGCAAGATCGGTGTCGTACTGAGGCGTAGACTTAAGCTCGCTTAGAGGGGCGCTGGCGATGAGCTGGGCCACAATATCGCGCAGGTTGAGAAACGAAATCAATTCCATCTTCTCGGGGCCCCTCATCTTCTTGCCCACAATCTCGGTGAGGGTGTCAATGGCGGCGTCCCGGACCTTGTCCTCGCTTCCAGACCGATTTGTCCGTCCAACGACAGGAAGCAAGAGGTTGAGCATTTCCTGGTTGACAATCAAGGAAATGTCCATCCAACTGATCCACTTGCCAATAACCTTGAGAATCATCTCAACAATGACATCGCTCTGGCCCGAGTACTGCGCCAGCAAGTCCTTCCATGACTGAGCAATCTTCTGGACGTCACGCTCTCGCAGCTGATCCTTCAAGTCGGTGTTGCGCTTCGCGTCGTTGCTGTTGCGCGTCAACAGCATGTCGGCAATCTCGTCGTGGACAGAGCCAATGATTCGCAAGTAGAGAACGACACCGGCCGTGTTATTGGGGCTGCTGGCAATAGCCAAAAAGTCGTCGATGAAGGACTCCCAGCCATCGTTGTAGAGGAAGACGAAGAGGTAGGTAAGGGTCTGCGAGAGCTTGTTCTGCAGGTGGGAGGGGTCGACCTGGTCTTGCAGGTTCTGGCCGTAGATGTTGCGGACGTATTCGAGAAGGTTGTCCTTTAGCCACGAGAGGCTGTTGCGGTCGAGGCCTTGTGTGTAAATCGCATAATTAACCACTTCCAAGCAGAAGAGGCGGACGACCTCGGAGGGGCGTTGTGATCTAGTGAAGAGGGTGGTGCAGACCTGCCAGCCTTGGGGATCGGCTCGCAGCTGGTTCAGGTAGTCGAAGGCTTGTTGCTTGAGATTTTGGTCGCTACCGACGTTGAACGCGGCCTCGACGGCGTTCTCAATCTGTGCGACAAGTGGGGTCAGCTCTAGTTCATGTGCGACGAGGTCCATTCTGCTCTTTGGCATGCCATCGTGAGAGCCCCCGTTCCCATGGGCGGGCTTGAGTCATCGGAGTGAAGGCCGGCGGCGGCGGTCAGACCATGGAGGCAGCGGGCGTTGGTGGGAGGAGGGAGGAGGGGTGATGATGGAGGTCGGACTGGCGGGGCACAAGGCCAACGATTTTGAGGCAGCCCAAGCCCAACCAGACAGCCGCACAGTAAATCGCAAAAAGAGGTGCTGCAAACGTACCTGAGCGTCCATGTTCAAGACGGTGTTTGCCCCCGAAAAGAGGTAGCGGGTTGTAGAAATGGTGATCAAGAGAAGGTTATTGTGAGAAACCGTAAACGAAGACTAGTTTATTTTTTTTTCTGTCGGTATCGAAATGCTGCTATAATCCTGGCAGCCCTCCAAGCTGTGCATTCAGCATTCTTGCTCGGGGTAAAAGCGGCGACGTGGAAGCTACCGAGAACTCATGGCCCGGTTCGGATCGACAGATGATAAGTAATAAGGTAAGGTATCCTGAGAACGTATCCGTAAGGTAGGCAGACCGAATGAGGCAGCGGATGTCGGGTTGGTTGGGTGGGAGATTGTACACACACGCGAGGAGTACTTTGGTCGGAGACGAGGGGTTGGTGTGGTGGGTTGTTGTGCCGAGGTGAGGTCGAGATGCAAATTCCGGATAGGTGAGAAGTGTGCAAGTGCTCGAAGCGATCGTCGGTCGGCCTGAATTATTTGCAAAAGCGGTCGGTGAGGGGGAGCAAGTGTGGGAGCGAAATGAGCGGGAGAGGGAAAAAGACAAGGTGGTGGTGCAAGGCTGAGGGGCTATCACAGCACCGCAAGAACAGAAAGACTCGGCGGTGGCAGGTGGTGTCTGTCGGTGTCGGTGGGCTCTTTTTTTTTTTTTTTTCCTTCCTCCCAGTCACTGTTATTTTTACTAGGTAGGTCCCTCTCGGTCAGTTTCCTCTAATCGCATGGGACCCCCAATCAAAGGGCCAAAAGTCGGTCGCTGATGTGTGCAACGTACACTCACTCCTCAGTGAGTCTCGTGCACAACAAGTGGGGTCAACTCTTGGTCTGTGGGCATCTGGACAGCTGGACAACGAACAATCGTAAACACCTCAGTCTGATTGATGCCTGTCGGCCGGATTGGACTCGACTGAAGGCCTGAAGCTAATTTCAGTGAGGGACCAAGGAAGCAAGCACACCACATCTCACTGGACCTCCCTGTACAGTGGCTGCAAGGACGTGCCAAGCTTCTTTATGGTATGTCTTTCCGCTGGCAGTCCGCCGAGGGCGGGGTTCCTGGCCTGCTGTTCCTCTGTCCTTCTCTCCGCTCCTCTTCCATTATTTACCTTACATCCAACCAAGAAGGTAATTGCTACAATACCACCTGTGATACACTACACATATACCTATGTCCGCATTGACCCGGCAAATTATCGGCCAAGTCTTCAGTCGACCGGGACGGAAACACTGCTGTTCGTGATTACCTCGCACCTCGCCCGGGCTCTTGATAGTTACCTAGCCTATTCGGTAATATCGTAGAAAGATCCAGAAGCCAACCATCCCACTACGATATCCGCACCCGCCCCTATTCTCCCACTGCCCCTCACCTCACCCCTCATTTTGACCATTTTGACAGTGTGCGCTCCCCCAGCTTGGGTGATCCAGGTCAGCCCTATTAAACATACGCTAATAATCCATGCGGTTCTCGTTCCTGCCTGCCTGGTCCATTTCGACATCTACGCAGTATGTAGATAACCCCTGGGGCAGGTCAAGGTTGCCTTGGAAACATGTGTGCGTCCCCGGGAATTCGAGCACCGGAATTCCATGCTGGAGTTGTGATTGTCATAGAGGACCCTGCTGCAGTTGCTCTTTGATATCGGATGAAACTATTCTGTTGGCCTTCTAGAAGGTCCATGACATGTACAAGAGACGTCCCCACACGCTCGTCCAGTAGGAAAAAGTGATAACCAAACGCCCATAACAGATTTTGAGACGGATAGAGACACAGCACTGTTAGTACGCCAATCCAGAGTGCCATATCTGGAAAAAGTCGTTCCCCCCATAGAGACAAGGACGAGATAGTGTTTACAAATAGAGAGAAAGCAACAGAGACCGAGGCTCTCACTAGCAAACCGAAACCTAGCAAACCCGGACGCCGCAAACTTCCACACCTTTGCCCTCAATGTAGGGCCTTCGGTCGTAGTACTTGCTCATGAGTTCCCTGACAAACTCCGCATCGTGCGTGTTCCACACGTCGAGTCCCATGCTCTCGAGGGCATCGCTGCCAACTCGTACCGAGCTTCTGTCGGACTCGCTATTGGTCCCCAGTGGAACATCGTCGGCGTCGTCTTCGTCGTCCTCGTCTTCGTAGCGATCATCCGAACTCTCCACCACATCAGCCATGACCGTCAGCATTTGCGCTGTCAAGCGATGAAAGTACGCAATCACGGCGAGCTCCGTTGTTGCTTCATCGGTCTCGGACCCAGCGGCCGGCCGGGAGACAAGCGATCCAGTCGAGTCAGCCATACCACCGGATGCCGATGACCGGGGTCTCGTATTAGGTTTCGACATGCTCGGGGTGTGGGGCGTCAGACCCAGGTCCGCCAGCAGCGCTGCATCGTGGGCCGCCTCCTCTTGTTCCTCGCTCCGTGCTTGTTCACCGGCGCTCGCCCACCACATGAATCCACTATAGGCCAAGGCTGTCCAACTTGATGGCTCGACAATCTTGTCCAGAGCTTCGTCGCCCTCGACACTCGAAGCCGGGAAGGCGCCAGTGGTCAGCTTGAAACTCGTTGAAGTCTCCGATCGGGGGCTCTCAGCCATTATCGGCTTCGGCGTCGTTGGTGACAGCCTAGCCAAGCCAGCCTTCAAGGCGCGGAACCGCCTCAGGTCGCGCTGTGTTGCCTTGACAGGCGTACCGCGAGGACATTCCACAGTTGGCCAGGCCTTTTCCTTGGCGTTGGGAGCATACGGGGGCGGCATGGTGATGAGCATGTCCCACAGAGTATCCTTCATGGCTAGGATACTGTCAGTCGTGCAAGCAACCCAACCAGAGCCAGCCTCGTCCGCAAGGTCATCATTGCTGTCGACTTTTCGGCGCTTTGAAGCCTCAAAGTCTTCCATCAAGAAGGGGATATCGTGGACTCCAATTGTGAAGAGCGGCCTCAGACGTTGAGAGGACGATGTCGGAGCCAATAGCTCGGCCACTGTTTGGGGGATATTTGAAAGAACAGAAATATTGTACACTTGATGGGATGTCAGTCGAGGCTGTAAAAGAGATTATGGATCAACGTACCAAAGTTGCAAATCTCTCGTACCGGCGCATGACACGATATTAAAATGCGCCTCCTCAGCAGAGCTGCCCTATGAATAGGGAATATGAGGGGCCCGAATGTGTCCAGCAATGTCATCAAGCTCCATGCCGGGTGGTATGGTGAAAGTCGATGCCCAGTTGGCAGCAGGGACGCTCCATCTGATGCAGAGCGATTGCGATTATGGTTCGACTTTTTCGGTTGTGCGGCTTGAGAGCTGAAACTGATAGAAGGGGACTCCATCGGTGGTCGTTCCTGTTCGGCCCCTTCTTTGGCCTTGTTGTTCTCCCAATAATCATCAAGAAGACTAGTATTTTTGCGATCTTGGGCCAATTTCCTAACACATGGTCAGCAAGGGTATTGCTGTCCTGCTCCGACAAATGTGCACTTACGATGCAATGTCCTTTAATCCTTCAGCATGCCTCCAGGCGCGGCCCAGGCGGCCGTAACTGAGGGGCACCAGGACGCCGACAGCAATCATGCGCGCATGTCGCGCCTCCTCCTCATCGCATGGAGTGTTGATGAAAGCGCTGAGACCCGCATGCTCTCCCTCGTGCACAAAGTATATCAAGTCGTCGGGGACAGTATGCAGACCCGACGGTAAGCTCTTATACTCGACTAGGCCCTCGAGTTCGATTCCGGGCGCGGATTGTTTCCAAACAATGGTATAGCCCGCTTTCACGTCAAAGTCGATGAGGAAGAGGGCGGATATGGGAGGGAGCTCGGGTTGCGCATTGCCCGTCGGCAAGCGAACTGAGAGGGGGGGTGGTTCTCGGCGAGAGGGCATGGTCGGAATGGCAGCAGGCTCAAGGTCACTCTATGGCAGCAAGGAGATGCGCCAGTGACCAAGGCGCTGGTGGTTTCGGCACTGGCGGGAAGATTGGTCGTATATGGTATCTCGGCAGATGACAGGCGACAGGCGGCAATATCGAAGATGGCTCCGCGGTTACGTGCGATATGCTTGACAAATGTCGTGCGATCAAGGTTGCGAACTCCTCGCCGTCGGGCAACAGGTACCGACGCGGAGCTCAGACAGACCCCAGGCGGACGTACCGGGTAAAGATGTTAGTCAGCATTTCGATCATGGCGGGTTATCGATAAGAACCCCTGTCAGGTAAGCATGCACGGGTACCCTGGTCTAGCAGCTTGGACCAATGTCCAGGGCACTTTAGCCATGTCAAAGATTGCCTTAGGTAATCCATGAAGGGCAGTTCGGCATCGAGACATTTAGAATGTTTAATGTTGAAGTACCTTCAATATTAAAGAAAATCCAGAGGATGGCTGCGATTTGGAAGTAACACCAGATTGTCACTTTACGTCTTGCCCAAACACTGAAGTAAGGTAGGCATGGAGTGCGTCCAGTAAATGAAGGCAGGGGCTCCGAGACAGAAGCAGCGGGTTGAATCTGAATCTGAATCTGAATCGCTGGGGAAGAGCGGTGGTCCTGACTCTGGCCACATGCTTTTTTGAGCAGCGCAAAGTGACCGCATTGAAGGAGGAGGAGGGGAACATTCTCTGCCCCACCTCCACATGCCTTATGGATGCCAGGTAAACAGTCAACGAACGTACTTGGAAGTTTGGACATGTTCAGGCACCTTGAGCTATCCGTGGATGCCTCTACACTGTACACGTGCCAGGCGTGCCAGTCACCACTCCGTCTGAACTTCAATTGTCTTGTTCCCCAACCCTTTTAAC